TTTCACCTCTATAGTCCCAGAGCAAATAAAAAATCTAAAATGACTTGAATAGCGGGCAACACCCTTATTAATTAGGAAAAGAGAACAACTTGGTCAATATTGTGAGCGCACGTACACTCACATGTTACGTGTGCTGATTTGCATAGGGAAAATCAGACAACGTCCTTAGTAAAAGGGTAGAGCATGGAAAAAATGAAAGCGATTATGACAAATAGATCAGGCACGTGCACATAAAGCGCATTATTGTCGAAAGTGAGACGCAAAAAGTCGGCAAATCTCTAACACTAATCTACCTCTACCTTACAGAATTGCAGTAAACAAATTACATTTTCATGCATTATAAGTAACATGCCCCAACTGTAACCAAACGCTAAATATCTAGTGTATTTACAGAAACTATAACAAGAAAACTACATGTAGTCGACTAAGTTCTATAACAGACGGACAGTGACACATTGACCGTAAATGAACGGTGTCCTGTCATGTAACTATTGTCTAAATACTACAGCATTACATTTTGCACATGACTTCTAGCTCTATCAACAGGCTACGAAGCATCCATCAATCGTTATATAAAATCACCTCTATTGCGCTATAACTCCACAGTAGAGTCATGTAGAGAGTACACTACTACATGTAGATCAAACAGTCAGGACATTTAAAGCATCGCCACTCAGTAACCGTTACAAATACACTGACAGTCTTTCGCCGGAGTGTTTTCAGTTGGCACTCTTACGAAAGCTTTTGTTGCCTTTTTAACACATGTACGGTTTCTGCGCTCTGTGAGTCTGCATGTGTCTGTTTAAACTTCTCCGTGCTGTGAACTGTCTGCTGCACTCCTCACATCTGTACGGTTTCTCACCTGTGTGACTCCGCATGTGTCTCTTTAGATTCCCCAGATCACTAAACTGTTTGCTACACTCTTCACAACTGTACGGTTTCTCACCAGTGTGAATTCTAATGTGCCTCTTTAGATCACCTAGTCCAAGAAAACACTTTCCACATTCCTCACACTTGTACGATTTCTCACCTGTATGAATCTGCACGTGTTTTTTTCAGATTACCCAGCTCACTAAACTGCTTGCTGCATTCCTCACATCTGTACGGTTTCTCGCCTGTGTGAGTCCGCACGTGTCTCTTTAGATCTGACAGTGTACTAAACGACCGACTGCACTTTTCACATCTGTACGGTTTTTCACCAGTGTGAGTACGCACATACTCCTTCAGATGCCACATCTCACTGAACTGCCTACTGCACTCCTCACACCTGTAGGGTTTCTCGTCCGTGTGGGTCCGCAAGTGTCTCTTCAGATTACCTGGGTCACTAAATTGCTTGCTGCACTCTTTACACCTGTACGGTTTCTCACCAGTGTGAGTTCGAATGTGCCTCTTTAGAGCACCTAGCTCAAGAAAACACCAGCCACATTCCTCACACCTGTACGGTTGCTCACCTGTGTGAGTCCGCATGTGTCTCTTCAGATTACCCAGCAGACTAAAGCCTTTGTTACATTCCTCACACCGGTAAGCTTTCTCTCCTGTATGAGTTAGCAAGTGTCGCTTCAACTCACTCAGGTAGCGAAACTCCTTGCCACACTCGCCGCACTTGTGGGTACGCGGAGAATCCTGCTTTCCACCTCCACTCTCTTGTTTCAGGTGAGATTCAGCTCTGGTCGCCATGTTGGTCAAACTGCTGATCCTAAAGGAATAACGTACAATTCAATGTGTCAAATGAATGGAGTTGACAATCGCGTATATTGTATGCACATTGACAAATGCGCATATTTTATTGCAACTGTTTTGGTTAATCAACACAAGTTGCGAACGCTTTGCATGATGGCAGAGTAATATTGTAACAAGGAAGTAAAAATGTGGACGACGTAAATGGAGTTCTCTGCGATATGGGACTTACAAAAAGTTACCGGGTCTGGTTCTATGCGTATACGTCTTGCTAATAATCAAAGTAAAAATTTGGCCATTTTAGCCTGGGCAGGTATGAAAAGTAAGTCGGAAATGTAGACACGAAAAATGTTTTTCGCCGTAAGGTTTACAATGCAACCTACAACACGGTGTTACACGGCCGTAGTCACAACAAAAAGAAAAAACCGGAAAACAAAATCATAGTCAGTACTCACCAAGATGCAAAGATTCTCCAAAGTTTTCCCGACGACACAGATCTTCACGGCTGCAGAGTTAGTACTGACAGAAACAGAGCAGTCAGGGACGCGTTTATATAGGGACTGAGTGGGTGGATAAAACCGGTCCGGTAGGTTTTAATTGATTATGAAACAAAGAAAACCTTCATGAAATTTGCATAGGAAAGAATCAGACAACATCGTTCTTAGAAAAAAGAGACCGAGTTGGAGATTAACAATAAAGTTGGTGATCAATAAAAACAACAACATATTACGTGTCTGAATTCATTGTTCATGTTGTATGCGTTGATTTGCATAGGGGCAAATTAGACAACATCCATAGGAAAAATGGCAACAAAGAAGACAACACATTACGTGTTTTGATTTATTGACAAAAATGAGATGCAGAAAGTTGGCAAATCTCTGTCAGCTACATGTGTTTACAGAACACTTGGAAAACAAACAATATTAACCAACAATCTAGTTTAAAACTTGTATGCTGCTAACTAATTCTATTTTTTATTCTACAGTATTCCGTGGTTAGTTAAAAAACAAACTGGTTAAGAGACGGACCATGGGCCTTGATGCCAAATGAACGGTCCCTTAGCTAGTAACTCTGTCACTACAGTCTAAACAGTCCACATTCGCATTCTACACACAACTTCTGGTTCTAATCAACGGGCGGGGAGCATGCATTGGTGATTTTACAGTTTAGTCATGTAGAAAGTACATTACTGAAAGAGCTCAGGTCACATTGCTAAAAGTGATCTACAAACCTCACTACTGACTCCAATCATACCACACAATAGCACCTAAAACCAGAGACAACTAATGGACAGACGTCTCCACATTGTGAGTCCGCACGTGTTTCTTTAAACTGCTCAGTCTGGTGAACTGCCTGCTGCATTCCTCACATCTGTACGGTTTCTCACCAGTGTGAGTCCGTAGGTGTCTCTTTAGATCTGACAGATTACTAAACGACCGGCTGCACTCCTCACACCTGTATGGTTTCTCACCCGTGTGAGTTCGCATGTGTGTCTTTAGCTTTGACAACTCACTAAACTGTTTGCTGCACTCCTCACATCTGTACGGTTTCTCACCAGTGTGAGTCCTCATGTGTTTCTTTAGACTACACAGCCTGCTAAACTGCTTACTACACTCCTCACATCTGTAAGGTTTTTCCCCAGTGTGAGTCCGTATGTGTGTCTTTAGATCTGACAGTCTGCTAAACGACCGGCTACACTCCTCACACCTGTACGGTTTCTCCCCAGTGTGCGTTCTCGTGTGCTCATTTAGAGTACCCAGCCTGCTGAACTGTCTGCTACACTCTTCACACTTATGCGGTTTCTCACCAGTGTGAGTCCACATGTGTGTCTTTAGATCTGACAGTCTGCTAAACGACCGGCTGCACTCCTCACACCTGTACGGTTTCTCACCAGTGTGAGTCCGCATGTGTCTCTTCATACTATCGAGCTCGCTGAACTGTCTGCTGCACTCCTCACACGTGTAGGGTTTCTCACCGGTGTGTGTCCTGATATGCCTCCTCAGATGAACCAGCGTACTGAAGCACGTGCTACATTCCTCACATTGATACGGTTTCTCACCCGTGTGAGTCCGCATGTGAGCCGTCAGATTACTATAACGACTGAAGCTTTTGTCACATTCCTCACATCGGTACGGTTTCTCACCAGTGTGAATCCACATGTGTCTCTTCAGACTTCCCAGCAGACTAAAGCATTTGTTACATTCCTCACACCGGTAAGGTTTCTCACCGGTGTGAGTCCGCATGTGGCGCATCAGTTTACTCCGTTTAGGAAACTCCTTGCCACACTCGCCGCACTTGTGGGTACCGGAAGAATCCTCCTGTCTGCTCTCTCCGTCCTCTATTTTTAGACGGAATTCAGCTGTCTCCATGTTGGTCAAACCTAAAGGAATTAGGTACAATTGTACATTAGATATTTTCCATGAAGAACATTAACGTATAGATGTTTGTGCAAAAATCCTGCAAAAATTGTGATCCTAATTAGACCAGTTTAGCAAACTCAGGTATGGAAAGTAGATCTAAAATGTACACATAGGCAGATCTACAATCTAACCTACTAAAAAGTGCAACATGGCAGTACTCATAGTTAAATACTAGTAAGATAATACAGGAAAACAAAATCATAGCACTTACCAAGATTCTCAGACGCTCCAAAGTACAGCACGATGTTTTGACGACGACACAGATCCTCACGGCTGCAGAGTCAGTACTGACAGAAACAGAGCAGTCAGGGACGCGTTTATATAGGGACTGACTGGGTGGATAAAACCGGTCCGGTGGGTTTAACTTGATTACGGAACAAAGGACAGCACCATGCTGATTTGCATAGGGAAGAATCAGACAACATCGTTCGTAGTAAAAAGAGACCAAGTTGGAGATTAACAATAAAGTTGGTGATCAATAAAATCAATCAACAACATATCATATGTCTGAGTTCCCGTTTGCTACTTCCTGGTTACTCCAACATGGGCCTTACAGCAAGGGAAAAAGAAGACGTTATTCCAGGTATCGTTGATACCAGGATAAAGGCCATTATTGAGGATTCTATTGTTAACGCCTTCCAACATGGGGGGGTACTGGCCGCCATAGTGCCCTCCATTGTGTCCGCTGTACGCGAAGCTGTTGTCGACTCCATTCAAGCTGAGCTGGCGAAACACTACGAGGAGGCACACCAGCAACGGGAAGAGCTTGAGGACCTGAAAATGAAGTATACCAACCTCAAGTCTGAATTCAACACGCTCCAGACCAAAGTAAACAACCTTGAGCAGTACTCCAGGAGGAATTGCGTAATCATTTCTGGAATACCTGAAACACCTGGTGAGCGGAGCACGGATAACCCAGTTTTGTCTGTTGCGAATGATACGCTCAAATGTGATCCTCCATTTAACATCAACGACATTGACCGATCCCACCGCCTGGGGAAACCCAGAGGAGATGGAAAGCCTCGTCCGATCATCGTCAAATTTTGCTCGTATAGGTCTAAGGCAGCTCTCATGCGGGCCAAGACCAGCGGCAGGGCCGCCTTGAAGGAGAACGGAATCTTTGTAAACGAAAACTTGACGAAAGCCAACATGGATCTGTTGAAGGACGCCCGGTCTCTCGTGAAGATGAAACTACTCAACCAAGCCTGGTCATATGATGGAAAAATATTCGTCAAGACTCCTCAAGACGAAAGGCGGGTATTGTACACAGCGATCGACTTGGACGCTTATCGGGTCCCCGAGTAATGACTTTGATTGACACAGCACCGCAGGACTTTCCAGCGCTCTCTAGCTAAGTTTCCTTTTGATGGCCTCTGTTTTAGAGGCCCTTGACTTGATTATGTTCTTATGTTTTTGCTGTGTTAGAAGTAGGATTATGTATTTCTTTGTGTGTCTTACCTATGAGTTTTGTAGCTGGTGTCCTTGTTATTATCTAAGTCCTCTCGTTTTGGTGGCATTGCAAGTAATCCAATTTGATTATGGGTAGTTTACAGAGATGTTTGTCCATATGCCACTCAAACGTGAGGAGCCTGTCTGCTAACGATTATATTAAACTTCACGAGCTTGAGACAATCGCCCTTGAAGAGAAATATGATATTATTGCTTTGTCTGAAACATGGTGCGATTTTACCATTCCCGACTCGGACATTTCTCTCGCTTCATACCAAGCCCCGATGAGACGTGATCGAAATCGGCATGGTGGTGGAGTCGCACTATATGTATTGAACTCTGTACCTTCGAAAAGAAGGAATGATTTAGAATGCAACTCGTTTGAAACAATTTGGTGCGAGGTAGAGGCCAACAATTGGCATGTGTTTATATGTGCTTGTTATAGGCCACCTGGTCAGAGTGCGGAAGAACGCAATGCATTTATAGAACACCTGCAGCAATCCGCAGACATTATCATGACCAGTCGCCCCACTGATAAAACAGCTGTAATCATTGTTGGTGACTTGAACAGTGCATCTGATAACGCCTCTGTCGAAATTGATAGGTTTGTGGCCGATAACAATTTTGTCCAACTCATAAGTGAACCCACCCGCATTACTGATCGGACATCATCCATGGTTGATCTGCTTATAACTGACTCTCCATGTCTTTTTACTGAGTGTGGTACGAGCCCCCCTTTGTCAAATTGTGACCACTCCCTTATTTATGGAAAAATGTCCCTCAAGATCCCTCATGTTAAAGCATTTAAACGCACTGTCTACGACTTTGGAAAGGCTGATTACGAGGGACTAAACACTAAACTCCTTGCTACGGACTGGAATGCCATATTATCAGCGAATAGTCTTGATATAAACGACACAACTGTAGCAATTTATGGCAACTCTTTCTAGTGCTATTAAACTGTTTGTTCCCTGTAAAGAAATCACTGTCCGCCCGAGTGATCAACCCTGGATGACCTGTGAAATTAGACACATGCTGAGGAAAAAGAAGCGAATCTATCGGAAGTACAAAAGGACGAAAAGTCCAACTCTGTTTACTACATTTAAACACATCCGCAATTCCTGCACAAATTTGATCAGGAAAGCCAAGTTAAACTATCGACTCAGCCGGTGTCTCGATCTCGCAAACCCGACTACGAATCCTAAGAAGTGGTGGTCAGTCTCCAAAGAAATTTTTCTCGGCAAAATTGATCATACAATACCATCTTTGATTGACAATGGATGTATTATATCCGACGATAAGGCCAAAGCTGATACTTTCAATCAGTACTTTGCGTCACAAACATACCTAAACACAATGGGTGCCTCTCTTCCCCAATTTGTACCCAGGACTGAGTGTACTCTTGATTGTATTACTTGTTCTCCAGCCGAAGTGTATCAAGTCCTGTGTAACCTTGACATAAGTAAGGCCACAGGGCCTGACGGTATAGGTAATAGACTGCTTAAACACATTGCCCCATCCTTGGCTGAACCATTGTCCAACTTGTTTAACTTATCAGTTCAAGGTGGTTGTTTTCCAACAATTTGGAAGCGTTCTCACGTAGTTCCAATTCACAAGAAAGGCGACAAACAAGACAAGATAAATTACAGGCCTATTTCTCTTCTATGTTGTATATCGAAAGTCTTTGAAAGAATTGTTTACATGCCACTGTCTTCTTACCTGCTGGAAAACAAACTGCTTACTGATCGGAACTCTGGGTTTTCCCCTGGGGACTCCACAATAAATTCATTGACATATCTAACTCACAATGTGCATCTTGCACTTGACAAAGGACTTGATACACGCGCTGTCTTCCTAGATATATCCAAAGCGTTTGATAAAGTCTGGCACGCGGGGTTAATTTTCAAATTAGAGCAACTAGGAATAACCGGATCTCTTCTAGCTTGGATCTCTTCTTACTTAAACGACCGACAACAGTGTGTCGTGATTAACGGCACCTGTTCTGATTGGGCGCCTGTTGATGCGGGCGTGCCACAGGGCTCGCTCTTAGGCCCGTTGCTTTTTCTCGTTTTTATTAACGATTTAGTGGATGACTTGGTAACAGACGGCCGTCTATTCGCCGACGATACTTCACTGACCGAAGTTGTTAGAGATCCTGTTATTTCAGCTGATAGACTAAATCATGACCTCAAAATAGTGGAAAACTGGGCAGACCAATGGCTGGTGACCTTTAACCCACTCAAAACTGAACTTATTACATTTTCATCCAAACGTATAAAAATTGCCCACCCACCATTGTATTTTAAAGGAGTTCAGTTAATGGAAGTCCCTTCCCACAAACACCTCGGCCTACATCTTACCCCTAATCTATCATGGTCATTACATGTTTCAATTATAACTGCTACCGCGATGAAACGGATTACCTTTAAAAAGAATAGTATCCTTTGTTCC